AATGTTATACCTTGAATGTCCTTTCATCGCCAGCATGGAAAAAAGCACTTCATAAGCTTTTACGCAATAAATCAGCGTTACTGTATTCATATAATTAAAAGATACACTTACGTGCTTTTCGGTAAGTGATGAATGCAAACTACGGACTTTTTTTGTTTGTTTATTTGGTTGCACATATTTCCTGCTTATATATAAAAGATGTATGTACGTAGCTTACAGCACTAAAGTTCACCAAAAGCATAAAACTCGTATCTCAAAGTCTCACTTGAGGCAATCGGAGTCACTGTTACGAAATCTAAAATCATTCACAACCTTAAATACTACTCCTAGAAATGATAATCATATCTCTCTTAAACTCTTGCAAGTTTACGAAACCCCATTATTTCATTTACTTTAGCAGTTGAATAAAAAATATATGAATACTTTTTAAGATAAAATTGTAGCAATGATTTTAAATGTATTTTCATATGCGATTGACTGCGTGAGTCTCTGTATACTTGCAACACTCAATTACACAACAATAAATCCATTTTCGCCCAACAGTGCGTATGAGTGCTGAAAAATCTGTAATCACCATAGGTACATATGTATGTGTGTACACGGGTGAAAAATTTGCTGAGAATAAGCAGTAAACAAACATTCGCAAAAACTGAATAAAAAATCATTAATTTATTATTACATAACTTTTTCATAGATTTTGTCTTCACATACAAATGTTATATGTGTTATGTTTACAAGCGACCCGATAGGGAAAACGAGCACCTGCGATTCTAAAATATTAAATAAGTTCAGGAGTATATAGAAGGGAACCTAAAATTTGTATGTTAACAGAATAATAAAGCTCCTTTAGATAAATCGATATTTAACTGAGCTGAATGATTATTTTATTTGAAATAAATTTTAGATATACGAAGTAGATATACATATGTAACAATTTAAGATATTCACGTAGTTGATATCAGCAAATCTCTCCAAAGCCTTTATTTACCTGCATCAACAACTCAGTTTTATCCCTTCCTTGCAGTTGTCGAATGGAGTATTGATATATTGGAACATAATTGCTGGTCTTTATGGAATTGTCAGTTAACTTCCGGAATGTAAAATATTTGGCGAGAGCAATTAATATTGCACTCATCTCTTAATTTTAATTTTTTTTATAATTTTTACATAAACTTGTATATATTCATATTGAAGCCATAAAAAGAACCAAAAAAGTGAACAGCGACTGGTATCATTATCTTTGGTATATGGAGTCTAGGTGTAAGACTAGAACTAATTTTATTCATTTACTTAATTTTATTGGAATTGCAAAAATGTTAAATAATGTGGAAATATTTACTTTTCTTACATAGAATTATATAAATTGATATCGTCCAATCTTTCTTAATTCGTTTTAGGTATCGACTCATTTAAAGCTGGTGTTAGCTTTTTGATATCAAGTAAACTGATTTATATTAGGGTTTCATAGAAAATAGGGATGGTTGTGACGCAATTTTTATACTCTTGCAACATGTTGCTACAGAGTATAATAGTTTTGTTTATGATCAGGAAGAAGAGACGAGTTGAAATCCGGGTGGATGTGTGTACGTCCGTCCAAGCTGTAACTTCAGAAAAATTGAGATATCTTGACAAAACTTGATACAGAAATAAATGAATGCCCACAAAACGCCGTTAATCGGAAACCAATAAATTGTCATAACTAAGCCCCACAATAAGATACAAAACTGTTATTTGACACAACGAATCACATAAGTAGCATCTGCAGATTAGAATGTTTTTTTAAATGGGCGTGGTCCCGCTTTCTAAAAGGTTTAGTATGCATATCTCCTAAACCGCTGAAGCTATAATAACCAAGTTCACTCAAGACAAATATTTTTAGCACACCTACCGACAGTGAGCAAATGGAATCGAAATGGAAATGGGGTGATAACCCCGCCCACTTCCCATATAATGGTTTTGATTAAAACTACCAAACTAACTTATTAAATAAACTAGTCAGAGACGTTGAATTTTACACATACCATGGTACAATTAAGCTTTATTGGAGCCAATACAAAATTGGACGATGGGCATGGCACCACCCACCTTTAGGTAAAAACCCATATCTCGAGACCTGCCCAACCAAATTCGGTGTATAACGTTCTTCTAACCTTCCTATGTTGCAATGCGAAATTGGGCGAAATCGAACTGCAACCACGCCTCCTTCCCATATAACCCATATTTAAATTTTATCTGATTTTTTGACATTCCAGTATACAAATAAAGCAATAATGAATGTATATAGATAAAACTTTGCACGAATAATTCCTTTAAAGTATACCACCTTATGACTCAAAATTGTTCAAATCGAACCAAAACTGTTCAAGACATTAGCTACCGAATTTGTGGACCCTAGTACATATAGTTGACTTTTTACTGAAAATATCGGTCAATTTGAAATTCAGAGAGGATCCTCTCTTAGCCTCTTTATAACTAATATCTTATTTACGAACATCCGGCTTACTTTACTATATATGATTGGTAATAATATGTGAGGTACCTTAATGAAATGCTTAGAGCCTTTTATTAGTCAGTAGCATATTAATAGTATGTGGTATTGGAAAAAGTTTATAAAATTGTTGTTTGTATCACCTCAAACTAATCGAGTTAGATATAGGGTTATGTATATATAAATGATCAGAATGAAGAGACGAGTTGAAATCCGGGTGACTGTCTGTCCGTCCTTCCGTCTGTGCAAGTGGTAACTTGAGTAAAAATCCCCATATAACGGTACTGTTAAAAACTACTAAAAGCGCGATAAATCAAGCCCTAAACACGCCATAGACATTGAATTTTAACTCTGGGACGAATAAAAAATTAATGTACATAACAAATTGCAAAATCTGTAAAATGTTGACAATACAATGTCCTACGTTTGTTAAAAGAATTGATATTTAACAAAATGGCAGACTCTGTCGTCGTTTGCAATACATTTGAGATAAACTGATTGGACCCAACGACTATACTTTCAAAACTTGTTACTCAAAAAATATTTTTAATATTAATTTTACTATGGTTTTTTAAAGGGGGAGTAGAATTAAAAAAAAAAAATAACGCTTTCTCCTTCAAAGTGTTCCCAAAAAGTGAAAAATTTTAATTTCGGAAAACCCACTCAGTGTTCCTGGGCAAAGCAATTATCTAACGATATAATTTTGATTTTTTGATTTCAGATGTTCCAATACCGAGTAATGCACTGCAATTTAACTTGTTTCCGCTACAGAGTAATTGCTGCCACTGCCGTATTTTTTTTTTAATTCTTTATGAAAATTTAACAGCATATTCTGCAAATCTCATACTATGTGTTATTGATTTTTAAAAATAGATTTTAATTGTTGCAAAAATCATAAAAATGGGCATAGTTTTACACGAATAAACACTTAAAAGGTATAAGGAGTATTCAGACCGAACATGTTAATCTGATAATACGATACTTGATACTTCGTTTAAACACTTAACTGTGAACATACTTTTTTTCTCTACATCAGTTGTGTGTTAAATTTTGTTCCAAAACAACTGATTCAATTTTATTAAATACTTACTTTTAGAATAGTAGTCTCAAATTATTTTGTACAGAGCAGCAAATGTCGTTGGCTATACGACGTAAAACAAGCAGCAGATCTGTTATTACGAAGTTACGTAAAGATTACCAATCTTGCTAGACTGCTACTTCGTTCCTTGGTAGAATGATAACCGTTAATTTTACAAAAACAAAAAGGCACGTAAATAACCACCCCTATATACTTCCAGAAACCTATAGACTTTTAAATATGCAAGTACCAAAAAAAAATTTTTTTTCGAAATTAAAGACTTAAAAACGACACGATTCTTTCTCAACCCATTGCATTAGAACTAGTTGTATACTGTCGTGTTTTATTTTATTTGTATTTCTTGCATGTTCAAAAGCCGATGAGTATCTCATTCACAAATCGTTTTATTTTCTAATAGTCTACTATTTCACACAATGTTGGTATATACATATGTATATATTTTCAGTAAACTTACATACATATAGTATTAATAATTTATTTCAGCTTTTATTTTTAATATTTTTATTTTTTTTTTTTTAATACATTTTTATACAAATTTTCTTTACAGGAAAAAAGTAATTGTTTTATTTTAATATTTTAATATTTTAACATAATTCAATTTTCTGCGCTGTTATTAACCGAACGAGAGGCGTGTAAGAGTACTGGATGTAATGTATTACAGAACTGTACAATATTTCATTTAATTTGTAGTGTTGATTTCTCATGTGAAAATAGTTGGGGAACGGAATACCAAGCTGGAGGCTTCGAAATACTTATACTTATAATAAGAAATAAAATTATTTTAGAATTTGTATCTGTAAATGTGTATATACGCATTTTTCAACTAATTTAATACAAAAAAAATTTTAAAAATTAAAAATATATTAATAAATACAAAATAAAATAAAAAAATTAATAACAAACAAATTTAAAAATAAATTTAAAAAATAAAAAAACTTAAAAAAAAATAAAAATATTAAAAAAAAAAATTTTAATTATAAAAACGTAAAAGTATTAAACAATTGTTTTTAATTTTCCTAATAAATTTTCAAAATTAAAAAACAAATAAAATAAAAAGACATGATGAAAAACTGTTTTATATAAAATATTCTTTTACCAAATTTTTAAAATTAAAAAACCAACGTAATAAAAACTTTTATGATGAATATTTTTATATTAATTATGAGTTCACAATTTTTTTTTATTTTGATTTCCTCACTACTCTCCACTCTTCAGTTCAGTTAATATACTACTTTCTTAAATTTCAGTGCTTTTTCTAGATTTTTGAAAATTTCTTATATCTAGCCGCTTCCGCTCTACTCAAATACAAATTGTCGCTCTCTACAAGTACCCACAAGTGTACTCTGCCCCTGCCACTACTTTTTTGAATATTACAATCCGTAATACGCTTAAAATTTGAATGCAAAGCATACATATTGTGGATTGTGGATTTTTATTTAATTTCATTTGCAATATATTTTTATTTTAAAATACACACTCACACACGACCACCGAACGACGGATGCGTGATGTACAATTGTACTTACATACAACGTACATTAATAATAATACATAATATTTGTTGTTAATAATGTTACAATAATAGAAACAATTTTGGACATTTGTTGGTTTTGCTGTAGAGAAGCGCGCCAAGTTTACCTCAAAGGATTACATATTTTGCTAGCTTAATTACATACAAACATACAATAATTCTATATGGTAAGTAAGTGTGCGACTGAGGTCTATTAAAAGCACAAAATAAACAACGGCAGTTCAGTTCTGCATTTTGCAATATGCAATAATAACTTAACGAAATTAATTATAAATAAAAGGTAATAAAATAACCTCACTTATGGTTCAACAAAAATGTGGCATAAAATTGCATATTTTCTAGTAAAAATTTTATGAAATCTATAAATAGCACCTTAACTGCTCTTGCTAGCATTTAAAACTTTTTTTCTTTATACATATATACTCGTAATTATTTTTTGTACTGATACTACACATTTTTGATAAAAATACGAAAATTAATTGCTCAATAACAAATTAAAAATTCATTTGCAGAAAGCACATACTATTTGCAAAAAAAAAAACATATTCTTCCATTTTTCTATAAAATTCACCTTCGGCTACTAATTGTGCCAATCGTAGCTAATATCTGACAACACTTACACATCAAAAAATCAAAATAAGCAGCAAATCAAGAAGATTACAATCAAATCACCAACACACGTCCAAAGCATAACGACTCTTCCACCTGTTTCTTAAGTGTAATCAGTGAGCCTTTATGGTATTTAAAAAGTGCTGTTAGGGCGGCTCGCTTCCATTACTCACTTCTCGACGACACCTCGATCCAGCGTCGTTTACTGGTACTCATCATCGCTGCTCAGCAGCATCGTCTTCTCATTATAGTTCTGGCTGATGGTGGCGACCCTTTGGCCGCCGGGCATGAATTTCCGTTGATTTCCCAAGGTTTTCGATGCGATGCAGCCGGCGATGCTGCCACCTGGTGTGCCTTGGCTGGAGTTGCCCAAACTACTCAATGTGCCGCTATTGCCGCCTGTGTTGTTGCTGCTGGCGTGATGTGTGGCATTCGGTTCGTCCGGATCGTAGGAAGAGACGCGTATACCACGCGAATTTTTACCACCTAAAGAAGAGTTTTGAGAATTCCAAATTTCGCATAGAAATTAAAATGACGTTATAGTTATGGAAAAATATGGCAACGCGCACAAAACACAACAGTTATTTATTGAGCGAGTAATTTGCAAAAATAATTTTGAGCATCTCATTCATGTCATGCCAAAAGAGTAGTGAGGTATTAAAAAAAACAGTTAGTTTATAAAAATTTTAAAATAAAATAAGTACAAATTTTTTTAAATTTATTGTTTGTATTGTTTTATCTGATTTTTTTCTTATTAGCGAAGATATTCTTAAGTAATTAAATTCACATCTCAAAAGAACGCCGGAATTAGGTATCTACAACTGTAAACTGACAAGTGCACTTGGATAACAAATTAAAAAAACAGTTAGTGCGATTTTATGGTTTTAAGAAATAAATATTGTTAAGTTAATTAGTTTTCTATATTATGAAAATCTCTATGCAATGGTTCTGAATTTGAACGGTACATACAAGTTATTTTAGTATATGTGTTCAAAGATGAAAGCACGTCAAGATCAGATTTGACCTGGACTGGTCAGTATATACATATATACTTCGTGTGAAATTTTATATATTCGGACAATGGTCTCATGGTGCGTACGCCGAAGCGGATTTTTCAGTTTCGAAAGCAAAAAAATGTTACAGAGACCCAAATGTGGTGAATACGAAGACTGAGCGATGATACTCGTTTTGTGTGACAGCGCAGATCCATAAGAGAGCTTGAGATCGTCTACTACCTCTACTAACCACAACAACCTCTCTGATGCCAGCATAACGATTTTTAAGCACTGTTTCTTTAACTTGATGTTATCGTCATTAACAAAGGTGGCAATTTTTCGTAGACTTCACGACCTTTAGTGACTGTTTTGTCAGTTTATATGGACCAATCTGGGCCAAATTTGATCTTCAGATCGTGATCATCTGATCACGTATATAAGACAATATTTCTCCAAAAAATTAGCTAAATTTTTTTTAATACTACTCCAATAACTTAAAAAAATATTTAAAATAACAAAATATAAAAAAACAACAAATAATTACAAAAAAAACGCATTCAATGATACTTATGCACACATCTTTTATTTAATATTTATAATAAAAATTCATACAATATTTCATTTAAAAATAATTATTTTTATAAGCAATTTTCATATAATTTACAAAGTTTCATTTATATATTGGTAAATAATCTTTAGTACAATGATATTGTAATATTGTACAAGGTAAGCATAAAATTTTCACATGCGTATTGTATAAGGCTATCACATAAAAGCTAAAAAAGACTATTGTGCAATACTCGTACAGTAGTATATGTGTTTATAAAGGAAAAAACACAATACACACAAAAAAGTGTACAAACATTAAATAGAAAACCAAAAAGGTGTATAAAAAGCTGTTTATAGGGTGGTTAAAATTTGTATGGTTTAGTGCTATTGAAAACAAAATCAAAGCAAAAATATCAAAAACAATATAATATAAATAATATAATTTAAATTGAGGCAATTAAAATTTTATCATTAGTTTGTTTTGCAAAGACAATTTAACTTTTTTTTTTTTTTATTTAATTTTTTTTTTTTTTTTTTGAGAAATGTGTAAATTGCAACAACTGCAACTGCAGATTTTGATAACTGTTAATAAATTATAACTGTGTACTTTTGGCAAAAAATAAAAATAAAACCCTTATATATTATAATTCTTTAAATCCGATAAATACAAAATTCTTTCAAAAGCGGTACACCAAATGAAGAAGCTTGTTAAAAACAGTAAAAATATCAAAAGCAATGATCAAAAAGAACCCAGAGGAAGTCTACACAGAAGCTAAAACTTGTTTAGTTCCAACTCATTGAAATCGCACGCTCTAAGACTCAAGCGGCCACTTTCAGATGTGCACCGAAAATTATCACCAAATTTTAAGCGAAATATGACGCCTTCACAGCTGCAGCAAAACTATGTATATGCTTTGATAAAATCTGGAAACTGATTTTGGAGTTTACATTTGAAATTAGAACGCCTGAATATTTTAAACCGAAGAATCTCTTGAAATGCATAAGGATATTTATATTTGTTTTTAATAGAACAAATTTCTAAAGTAGTGAAAACAATACTTTTGCAATCAGAACTTCGAAAAACTGTTTAAAAATTACTAATGTTGTGACAACAACAATGTCGAACTCGAATCGACATGCCCTTTAATTATCAGTAAATAAACAAAACAATTTCTCTTGGTGGCAGTCAAATTTTTGTTAAGAAAATAACACAGTATCGACAAAATTTGCTGTAAAACTAACGACACCAGAAATGCAAAGAACAATAAGCACGATATTTTGTAACAAAAAATTTATTTATAAAAAATTGTAATTCTTCATTGTGCAAGTTAAGTACTTTGTGCTTTAGGTTCATACTAAAGTAACATAATTTTTTTTCATGGATTAAGTACCAGAAGGAAGCCGGCAAAATTCAAGCAAGTTCTGTTTTAACCAAACTATAGATAAATATGTAGGTGCTATATTGGCAAACTAATTATTTTATTTGTTTTATAATAACCTATAAATATTTTTTATTTCTGCAGTTAGTAATAATAACCTACCTAGTGGGTAAACAATTAGATCAAATTGAAGAAGTTGCCTGGTAATAAATTTTTAAAAATATGTGCTACAAAAAAGTAAGAATTAAGAATTCAAAGAATAGAAAATAAAAACCAAAGTACATATTATCTATCAAACAAGCTACGATTAACAGGAATATGTTTTGAATACAGTTGGCTTAAGCAGGAATGTATTGGGGCAAATTTAATTTCCTATTCATTTTCTCGATCAATAATATTGTTGTTAATATTTGTATTTTTTATCTGTCGCTTTGTTATAGCAAGGCAGTGCATTGGTCCAGGTGCACCTTGAGCTACGCCAAACAAACAACGCTTGTAGAAACTTAAAGGTATGAAATAAAAAGCAGTGTAAATACATACATATATATTAGAAAACGAACGAAAAACGCATACATCCTTCGCAATGCACACATGTGTATGTGTGTGTGTATCTAATTATATAAAGTTAAACTTAAGAGCTACGCCATTTTTATCGTTTGCTTGAAACTCCTCTTATTTTTTTATTGATTATCGCTTTTAGTCGCTTATTGTTTTTCAATGTATAAATATATATTTATATGTACTCGTGTATGTTTTGTACAAGGCAATTTTGGTAAGCAAATGCACTTCGCAAAGGTATTTTGTCAACGCATTAGCACTATAAAAATATTGTTTTAGAATTGATTTTGTCCTTTTTTTTTGCTTCTTTTTCAATTATTTTTATTAAATTATAAGTAAGTACTATTTCTTTTTCTGTTTATGTTCGCCCTCTTCAACGCTCATAACATTTTATGTCTTCCGGTCGGCGGCTCATTTGCGTATTGTCAGACATTGATTTTAAAGTTTCTCATAACGTTGAGACGAGGTAACTTCTGTAAAAGGAATAGAAGAGAAAAAAACAAGTTTTTGAAGAAACCTAAAGCGGTAGGTAACGAAAATAAATTGTTGGTAAACATAAAATGAAACCGAAGTGGAACCAAAACCAAAGTGAAAATAATGAAAACAAAACGAGGTGTGTGTGTTTTTAATACATTATAAGCGCATTGGACTTGAACTTGGGTGCGCTTTACAAGTGCGACCTTTCAAGGTGGATAGTGTGCAAGTAGGAGAATAGAAATAGTTTCAGCACGCGTGTGTTATAGCGGTTTTATTGGATACTCTATAACTAACTGCTACTCACTACCAACACCTAGGCAATTTTGGTAAAATTATGATAATTAAAATTAGTATTTGCCAGCCCAAAGCTAAACGCATTTTTGAAATTTTAGTTAATATTAAGGGAACATAAAACAGTATTTAAAAAGGTTTTGAGTGGATTAAGCCACGGAATGGTATTGATATACGATATAGCAGTGCAGATAAATATAGAATCATACAGTGAGAAAATAGTTGCAGGCAGGATACATATCAAATTAACAGTTAAGAAAGCCCAAGCCACGTTCAAAGCATGCATATTAAGTAAAATATATTGCAAAGTGATGGAAATGGACTTACCGGAACTGTATTGCGTGTACTGTTGGTATTGTGGATGGAAATTGTGTATAGCATCTGTCATAATATCCTTGGGATTCATAGTTTCCTGAAAAAGAAATATTTTTATAAAAATTATGTAAGGAAAATGCATTCACATACTTTAAGACTGCTTGAAATTGATTGCATGGTAACAGAGCGACCTTGGCCATCGGCAATACAGCTGCGCGCATAGACCTATAAGGAAAGAGAGGTAGTATTTACAATATAAGAAAATTACAGCTGCAAGCAGATCTGGGTAAACACATTTAAAAGCAATAACAAGGAAAAACGTTAACTACGGTTTCATTTTTTATAGTATAAAGGAGTATAAAAATATCTGTATCTTGATTTTGATCGGTCATTGCAATATTTCTTGGAGATATCTTGTCAAATGACAAAGCTTTCCATACAAGGACTTGATTCCGATCATTCCGACATATGAGCAGGACGTGCGTAACATTTTTGGTCGACATCTCAAAAACTGAAGAACTAGTTTGCATATACACAGACGGACAGACGGACATAGCTAAATCGACTCAGCTCGTCACGCTGATCAATTATATATATACTTTGTAGGTTCTCTGACGTTTCCTTTTGAGTGTTACAAACTTCGTGGCAAACTTAACGACTCATAAACTCAACACTTCTGATAACAAGTAAATTATGTATATGACTACTAATACTAAGTACTAATAAATTTAGATCAATTGCAAATATGCATGATATGAGCACATACCACGCACGCTCACAAAGTGAGTACAAGAAATGAGGCAAATAAAAAGGAAATTAAAAATGCTTGAATATTTGCCACGCTTCAACGCCTAACCATTACGCATATGCCAAAGATATGCCAAAGCACATCGCTAGCACTAGCAAACTTTCGATTTTCACCTAGTCAATGTCTAACTTTACGGTCCACGCTTTCTACTGGCTAATCGAGTGTGAGTTTTTCACTAGCATACGCAATAGTGTTAATTGCTTGCGAAGTATGTTTATTATGAGCTACTAATAATTTATGTTGTTGTTATTGTATATTTATCTTATCAATCGGCTATTGCATGTCAGGCAATCACGCCTAGCAAACATTTGCACTCGATGAACTTGCGAGTAAAGCGTAAATAAATAAAATATGCAAATGTTAGTCATAAACAATAATGACAAATTATAAAAAAGTAAACAATAATTAAATCGTTATTATTTAACTCACCTGATAGGGGAATGCATAGCGCAAAGCAATCGCAGCAAACAACATTTCAATGCAAATGAAGAAGTTTTGATAGCCCGCCGAAACAGTACCAGCTGAGGTGACAGTGCCCATGCTGTCCACAATTGGCGAAATGACCTTGGCCTTTTCCAAAATGGCTAACATAACACCTGTAGGCGGTAAGAGCGTATAATTAGTAAGACACCAAAAATAAAGACACGTTTGGACTCATTAGAGTGACTCACCTTGCCAAAACGATAAGAAAATAATCGATTTGATTGTACAAAATTTCAATACAGGCTCGAATGGTGTGAGTAAATCACGCGTAGCGAAATAGAACAGATATAGACCGTAAAGGGCAAGAGTCACGGATATATTATAGATAACGGTTATGTAAATGTAGCCGCCGTTTGCGCTGTAAAACAGTATAATTTAATTAAATAAGTTGCAAAGAGTCTTTATTCCACATTTTCATACCTCCAATCACCATCATGATAGTGGCCAAAGGCTTGCAGGAATATAATAATAAATGCCACCAGCGGCTTCACCAAACAAAATTGCAATGTGGCCTGCTTGCAAAAGCGCAAGAAACCGATTGTATACGTCTTGCCCTTCAGACAGCAGGTGCCATACAGACACGAGCTCTTAATGGGTTTGCCGCGTATCTCGGACATGATATTGCCCTCGCCACCAAGGTACTCATAGCAGAGCGACAGGAAACTGTAGATGACAAAAGCTAAAGGAGGAATTATGTAAATAAAATTTTTCAAAAAAATATATCAGCAAATCTTGGCAATGTCATATGCTCACCTTCGTAGCAATCGCGCACGGTAAAGAAGTACACATACACATTATCCGAATTGAAGAAAAACAAACTGATCCATGAGTATGTCGCATACATGGGCACAATAAATAGGATACGCACTATCCAGCGCTGCTCCTGTGGATTTGTGTACCAACGCAGATGTTGATAAATCTACCAGCGTGTGGCATTGTGTAAACAGAGTGTTGAGGCAATATGAAAAAAACAAAGTAAAGCATTTCAGTTACATTTTTTTTAAGCACAAGACTACCCACCTGTTGGCATGTGATAAATAGTGCCACCCACACGAAGACGGTCGCAAGTCCTTGGGCGGTTTTTGTTTGCAGGAAGATACCATCACCGACGTGACTGAGCGGATCAATGGGTGACGGCATTGGTTTGGCTTGTACAACGATACTCGGCTTCAGCGTGGTCGATTCGGTCATCGTCGATGCGGCAACTGCGATGGCGGCTGCTGCTGTGCCATTCGTGTCAATGAAGCTCGTTGTACTTGGCGTTGTGCTGCTCACAACGCTGTTCATACTGCATATGAAAATAGAGTAATAATTTGTACTGTAGAAATGAGTTTTTTTTTAAGAGAAAAAAATTTAAAAAATTCAAAAATTAATGTTAGTATTTTAAATGCTTTCACATAACAAAATATTGACTTTGGGAAAACCCAAAAATATACTCAAAATTGCTTAAAATTGGTATAATAAAATCAGTAGCAAGAGTAGCCATCAAATTGAAGTGGCATTCAAGACTTCTAAAATCCTCATACTAAGACTCGTATATAAAATCCATGAATATCTGAAACATCAGTAATAAAATAAAATAAAGCGACATAAAAATTAGTATACATTTTTTGTTGGTAGTGCAATCAAATTTTATATATAATTTAACGCACATACAATATGTAAGTACACCACATTTTTATTTTTAATATATTCAGATAAGATTGTTTGTAAATATTCAATGAATTATGATTATGTAAAGACGCTTTCGTTCTAAAGAGAGTTGCATGTACGTGCATTTTTTGTTTCTTATCGTCGCAACATCTAGTATTTATTTTTCTTCGAATTTTCTAAAGAAAGAAACTGGAATATAAATGTTTTTTCATTCGAAAATATTTAATAAAATATTAAAATTAACAAATTTCCCAGGAATTTTGTTGCTAATGCCGGACATGCTCAGGTTGACAAACCATTTTCAAATTATTTCTAAATTAAAACGAAAATAACTTAATTAAATATGAACTTTTGAAATATTTGGCACAAACATGTTTTGGTTAAGTCTCAGACTTTTGCGTAGCTTCCTAACCCGAGTATACTAATTTCCACATTTCCATTTAATTTTATCAATAAGTAGCTTCATAATAATTTAATTCACACTTTCTCTTAGCTTCCATATAAGGATTATACAGATTTGCACCGGTCTGGTTGACAATGTAGATTATATGGTAAGTGATGTCACTTAAAGGGCAAGGACAGTCTAAGATTTTTAAAAATCTTAAATTTTTTTGCTTAAATTATGTTTTCCTAAAACATTATTTAGTGGATAAAATGGTGAATAAAAATACCACGTAAATTCTTAAACGCGTTTTCTTGAAGCTTGTAACACCCTAAAGAAAACGTCAGAGACCCTACAAAGCATATATAGGTATAATTAATCAGCGTGACGAGCTGAGTCGATTTAGCTATGTCCGTCTGTCCTTCTATAAAAATGCAAACTAGTCCCTCAGTTTTGGAGATATCGGCCAGAAATTTTGCGCACGTTCTTTTGCCACTACGACGCTGTTGGTTTGTCGAAACCGATATCGGACCACTATAGCATATAGCTGACATATAAATTGAATGATCCGAATCAAGTGCTTAATGGAAATTATTCAGATGGAAGAATTTATTCAGATCGGAGCCAAGCTTGCATGGAAAGATTTGTCATTTGACTAGATATCTTAAGACAAAATGCAATTTCTAAAGAAATGATTAAGATCGTACTACTATGACATATAGCTGTCATACAAACTGACCGATCAAAGTCAAGATAAAGATATTTTTATACTCCTTTATGCTATAGAAAAATTCACCTGTGAAGATTATTATAGCTTCGGTGCAGCCGAATGTTTTGTTATCATTTCACTTTTTTGTCAAAAACAATTTATTGCTAATTTTTTCAGTCAAAAGTTGAACCTTTTTTACAAGTCCGTCATTTTGCGAAAATTTACTGTACCATTTTATCAAATTTGAACCTCACAGGCCCAACTGCACGCGCAAACTGAATAGATAAAAAAAATGTCTTGACTTATAGAACCTTTTTTACGTTGGTAGTTTGATCGAATGTCAATTTGCGTTTTCGACGCGACAACTTTATTTGGCGATTTTTAACATTGAAACAAAATTTAACTAATGGTTTTCTTTAAATTTGTGTTTCTAATGAAATCACGTATAAGGAATCGTTGAAAATGTTACGAAGTGTTTTAGGTAGTATTTGAATGGCACAAAGCATTCAAGGAAGGTCGCTAAGTCATCGAAAACTGGCTTCCTGCGAGTCGTCCTCCCACCTCTCTTAACGACGATAACATCCAATAAGGTAAAAGAAACAGTACAAAAGAGTGATCGAGTTTGCATCAGTTAGACAGCAGAAGATCTCATCACCGCTTATGGAACGACTTAACACATTTTGGTTAATGTTCTGTGTGTGAAGCGTGTCTATGTGACGTATATTTATGAAGACGACGTCGAAACTATCTAACAATCTAGCAAATGGCACTCTAAAAATGAGCCGAAACGATGAGAAACAAAATTCACCTGAAGGCCATCACAGCCTGACTTATAACAAGTGTATGGATAATTGTGTAAGCGTTGGCATGCTTTTGTATTAAAATACGTGAACATAAAGTTTTTTTATATTAATCCAGGTCAAATTTTATCAGAAGGCAAACCTAAACAGGTACGTACTTTACTAGCAAATATTATATAGATTAAGATGCAGTGTTTTATTTTGTTGCAGATAGCACAAGTTTATGAAATCACAGCCGCCCGTGATTCAGAAGATGAGTCCACTCAAATGTGTGTAATAATATGAAAGAAAAAAGTTCGATTCCTTTTTCGTTACTCGCGCAATGCATTTTCATATTTAAACCTTATTTAGAGCATTAAATTTATGTTAAGCTTTTCTTCAGATAAGATTTTCTTGGAAAGTACACAATCGAAACACAAATTTCCTCAAAACTGATTTCACTGATAACTGATTTCTAATGTCATGTTTTCACACTCGACGTATTGCACACTCCTTGAATGATTTGCGAGTGCTTATATTGTTCAATTTCGAAACTTGACAATAGTGTTACATTAAATTTATTTTTAGTTGTTTTTTTCAAACGATTTATCAGTACTCGGCAACCTTATGAACTTGCTTTCTTAGAAGCCTAGATGATAGTTATTCACAACAACCCGACTATTCTTAACTTTATAAATTCTTAACTTTACACACAATTACACAAATGACTTAATTTGAAAAGTATTTAAGTTATCACTAAAATTTGGTATGACATACCAACTGTAAAATCTCACTTTGAAATGCGATTAGAAAAATAGTGTTTCGCCGATATATTATTCAAAATTGCAACTAGAATTTTTTCCCTATTTTTTTACACCAGTACACCTGCTAGACCTTTCTGAAGCCATAACAAAACTTTCTTACCAAACACTGATACATATTTACTCATACAAAATACTGATAAATATAAAGAAGAGCACACAAATACCCCTCGTAACTGTGACCACGCTAAGTATATAATATATCTTCCACGAAGTTTATTGCACTGATAACGTGATTGTAAATACGAGCTCATAAAGAATAACAGCATTTGACGGAATAGCTTTTGAGTAAAATGCTTTGATGCATTTGTAAATGAGTATATATATGTATATATGCACACATGTGCCACGGTGTTCAGTATATGCGCCATTAAAAGTTGAAGTATGACAAGATAAAAATTGAATTATATCAACACGCACTACCATTATATAGGTATAGAGGCATACGTCCATTCACTTATTCTCACGTTTACTCAGTCGGCTGTACACCGTCGTTAAGCGACGTTTTCCATTTATTGTCTCCCATCATATTAATATTATATTTGAATGTTGACAATGACAGAAGAAATGATGCGAATGCTTGTAAGCACACTTATAAGATATTAAATAGACCCTTGTAGCAGCACCACTATACGAACTATAGACATGGTTTGACGAGACAAGAGAAAAAAGAAAAACGTGGAACTGTAGAGAAATGTACATTTTGAAAAAAAACGAAATATATGTGGTCTTGGCCCAAATCTAAATTTCAAAGCCACCGTGTTATAGTAATAAATGGTGCGTATCACCATTATCAAGGGTTTCAGTTTAAACGTAGTTTCCGACCAACTTTAAAAAACGGTGCTAAACCTGGTCACTTCCACGCAGGCAATGGCATCTTGGACTTCACTTTACCTCTAAAAAAAAATTATATGTTTTTCACGATGTTTCTCAAATCCCTTACTTTTTATAAAAATATTGATTTTGTGTTTCCAATGGAATCACGGCTACGGGATTATTGAAAATATTGCAAAAGTGTTTGAGGGAGATAACTTTATCACCAACACAAGTAATTGAGTTGCACAAAGCATTTGGTGAAGATCGTAATGTCATCAAAAATTTCCCTCATGCGAGACGTCCATCCACATTTGTTAATCCCGATAACATAGAAAAACGCAATACATTTGTTTAATGCTTTGGGTATGAAGCGTGTCAATGCTATACTGGTACCTAAAGAACTAAATATTTTGCCAAAACGACGTTAAGTAGAGGTCGCAAAAGTGATGGAAGGATGAAGGACCATCCATTCAACAAACGTATCATTACTGTGGACAAGCCGCAGGTTTATAAATATGTTGTCACAACTGTCCAACAATCCAGCGAAACGCTTTCCAAAAATGCAACGAAACCGAAAAAACCAAAACTTGCTTAAGGCACTACTTATAACTCATTTTCAATTTTTTTTCCTATGGTCGCTAGGCTGTGCTGTGCTGCTATTGCAATTAGCCTTGCACTCGCGCATGTACTCTGCTTCAAGTCCAGTTATGGTTCATGCGGTAGAGAAAGTGGATATACCATATGTACGCGATACTTGTCTGGTCTTAATAGATATGAAAATGAGCGAATTGAAAAATAATAGAAAAATATTAGATCATCGTAAAAAAGGAAAACCACGCGCCGCTGTAACTACTTGCTGTCTAGTAGTAAAAGCCATAAGATAATGGTGCAAATGAATTCAAAAATATATTGTATGAAGCAGGCATATCGAATATATAGACACGCATATGTATGTGTGTATGGTATAGAAAAAGACACACAACAGAGCCTACTTGTATTAATCGCGTGAAAATGATACTGAAGTTGCGGATAAAATACAGGAAAGCAAACAGGACACAAAAATAAACACAACAGCGCAAACAGTTGGATAAAAAATGCAGCAAGTGGTGTCATGAAACATAAATTTTT